AATAATGAAGAGTTTGAATTAAAAGAAGTCTTAGATTCAAGGCGGTGCCGAAATAAATTGAAATATCTTGTCCATTGGCGCGGATATGATATTAGTGAACGCACATGGGAGCCAGTAAAGAATCTTATAAATGCAGCAAAGGTGATAAAGGCTTTTCATCAACGACATCCATCAAAATCAAGATGAAAACCTTCTTTATAAAAGAAAAAACATCTAGGCAAGATAACATTCTACTTTCAAATTTTGTTTGTAGCTTCTTTGTAGTTGTGACGCTCAGGAGATGGAGAACCAACAACCAGCGGATTTGACTCAAGAGCCTTCATTTGCTGACCTGCTGGACGAGACATTACAATTGTCACAATCTTCACGTCAATGCAATCGAGATGAAGATCTTCAAGAACGACATGTTCTTCTTCGAATAGATGGCGAGATACAACACGTTTAGTATCACGACTTGGGAAGGGACTCCCGATGTTTGGTGATTTTGCTAGAGGTAGGAACAACTCCTAATGGTATTCCAAATGTTCTATTGGAAGGAAGTTATGAAGGCCTCAACAATGATCAAATAATTGAGTGGTCTTTCCGCCCTGGTATGGAACACTACCAATGGTTGAGAGGCCCTATCAATCATCTTCGAAGAGAACAAAGATCAGAGTATGTGGTGAATATAATTCATCGCATCATAGATTTCGTCAACATATGATGACCGCTCTTCGTAGAACTCATCCCTAGAAGGGGGGGTAATGTCACGGACATACTCATGTAAGCCAATAATTATATATGCAAATAGGTAGAAGTAAGTAAAAGTAGATAAAAGTAAGTTAATTCTATAGTATTTGATATGGAAGCTTCCTAGAAGCTTCATAGATGTCGCTTTGACTTCATAGGTGTTTTTAATTGACTTTTTGGATTAGAAACGTAGTCAACAAGTTGGCCATGTGCCATACATGTTAGCTTGAAGACCAAGCTAATAATGTAGTTCACACGTAGAAAAACTTGCCTTGCAAGTCAAGGCATGTGTCCTACAAAGTCAACACATATTGGAGGTCCTATAGAACGTTGCTACGTAGCCCCTAATTAGATAGTATATATAGAGACAAGAATGAAGCCTTTCTCACTTTTCTCAACTCCTTTCTTGCTTCCAGTCTAATTTCAAGGGTCTCTAGTTTTCTTGTCTTTTTGTAACAGCCATTCTAGTTTCTCTTTCAATATACATACTTGTTTATTTATATTTTGTTACCTTTCTTTGAGTGAAGGCTCACTTGTCTGAATTTCTTTTTTATCGAGTTCTTGTCTTTGACACATACTTTAAAAAAATACATCTAATTTAAATTTTAAAAAGTTAATTTCTATAATGTTTTGTAATATATTTTGAAAAATTCTAGGTCTAATAGTTGTATATTTATTTAGAATATTTTTCTAATTGATAGTATTTATATTATGAATATATTTTAAGGATCAATATTAAGAAATTAGAAGTTATTTTTAATGAAAATTCATTATTTCTACTAGAAGAAAATGTAGGCTTTTTGTAATATATTTTTAGGAATACCATAAAAAAAATATAACACGATTACAACATATAATTACCTCAAGGTAATTAATCCTTTCATATAAAAAATCTGTTGTTGCTTCTTTATTATACTTATTGAAAGGAGATTTTCTTCATTAAAGCTTTATTAAACATTCTATTATTTATATGTTTTTTCTTATAATCTTATAAGATGTATTAATTTTTTTTTTTTTTTTTTTTTTTTTTTTATTCCGAGATTTCTCTTAGTGATTATCATGTTTTTTCAAAATTCTATAAAAAATTTAATAAATGAATGATGTATTAATATTTTTATTACCTTTTAAAAATAATGATGGTGAAATAAAATCTATATCAAAGAAAATTTTATAGTAATGATTTTTGTATTTTCTCTATTTTATTCTAAAGTTGAAACATTGAATTATTTAGAATAAATTCTTAAGTATTGTTAATCTCAAAAATATTTAAAGATAACTACATTGTACATGTAAAGTTTTAAAGTCCACATAGAATTAATCTCAAACCGTTTAAAAAGTCTCTTCATTGCTATTTTAACTATAAAATACAAAAAAAATTGATTCTAAAAAAAATACTTATCATAAAGATCTATCTTAGCATTTAATAGTTAATTTTTTAAATTTTTATTTCTTAATTTAAAATTCCTTAATATGAAAGGAGATTATTCTCTATATAAATTTAATCTATAGATTATGATACGAATTAAATAATAAATTCACCAAGAAGTGATCTAATAACATATAATCTTGATTATGCACAAATCCATTTTTTTCCCTAATATAGAATATTTATCGATACATATTTTAAAAAAATTGAAGTATTTTATTTTTTCATATAACAAGAAATCCTTATTAAAAATAAAACAACCAAGTACATCTAAAATCTGTACTCCAAACTTATGTTATTTTACAAACACCTTATATTATTAACACTACAAAATAGGAGTAAAAACAATAAGATAAATTTTAGCTTAAACACATATTGTGTATCACTCGTTTACAAAGTTGAACTCACAAACAACTATTATAGATCATTTGTTTTGTTTTTTTGTTTTTTATTCTTACATATAGTTAGTGGAATAATAGAAACATTAAATAAAAAGTTAAAATCTAATAGACTAATAAACTAAAGAATGTTTCATGAAAGCCAAAGATGCAAAATGGGGTTTATGGGATTCATCGTCCAAGAGATGCCCTTATCATGCACCATGTGGCTTACGTGGGAGAGAATGAGAGAGAGGACCACTGATTGGCCAATCCAAGGCAGCCTTTCCAGCTCGACATTTTGGCACCTGGCTTGCCACGTGGAACAGCTGACCTGGATTGGGTACCCCAATCTCCAATTATCGTAGCCTATTTTATTATTTATTATTATTATATGTATATGTATTATTTTATAAGTTAAAAAATGTTCGTGATTGCAAAGGATTTCTATTCATAGAAAAGTGTTTTGATTGAAATTCATTTTTGAAATAGTATTATTTTCAGTGGATTTTCTAGGTGTGTGATAGGAATAAGATATGAACTTAATGGTTAAGGAACCAGTATCTATTTATTTATAAATAATATATATATATATATATATATATATATACATAAAATTGGACAATTTCTGAGTATAAAACTTTTAAACATAAAATTTTAGTTTAAAATAAAAATTTCTAGAAATTGAGTCAAGATTGTAAACGCAATCTGATTATTGGACAAACAATGAATTGGGATCCTGCATGTGAAACTAGTCTATTCTGGCTGATAAACCTTGTATTTTCAAATCTAGTATATTGAAATAAGTTAACACAAGATGAGAAAAAATTAAGCTTACAAATTATCGATTATATAGTGGTAACATAAACTATACTATACTTTTTATTTTCTTTTTTTGGAAATAACAGTTTGTATGTCTATTCTCATAATTGTTTTTCGTAGAAATAAACAGATATATTTATATATTTTTAAAATTTTGAATTTTGAATTTTGAAAACGATTTTAAATATTACGTTTTTATGTTGAATTTTAAATATTTACTTGTTATTGTTATGATTATTTTTATTATTTCTCTCAATTACCATTTGTAGTGCAACTCACCAATTTATCTTTAATTTATTCTCTTTTTATTTTTTTTGGTTGTGTAAGATTATAGATTGCTTTCACTATTATTATTATTATTATTTCGTTTTGTTTTGAAGTTATTCTTCATACATTAATTTACTTCTACATGTTCTTCAATATTTCTGAAATGCTGCAAGTCTTTTAAAAAATTGTGAACTTTATGTAAATTCTGTATTATTTTACTAATGGCGTCATAGAAATCCACAAATACAATTTCCTGTTTTCCTGTACTGCCATAGTTTTTGTGACTTTTTAAAGTAATGATTCTGAATTTGAAGTTGATGAGATTCACAATTGATGTAATTAGTGTTGATATAAAACACTTGTGAGGATTCATCAAAAAATAATAAAATCAATGAAATCAATAAACCCATTGAAAAATAAGTTGGAATATATTGATTGTAATAGTACATCAAACTTTAGAATTTGGTTCGAGGTTCATTTATTTTTCTAGGACTTTTCTCATTTCAAGTATGTTGTTTGAAGACTAGAAAATCTTGCAATTCCTTGTAGAGAATTGAAAAATTAGTACCTCTGCAAAATAATTGTTGTTTTTTAGTCTTCAGTTGCTACAACAATTTACAACAAGTGTATAAGGGAATCATTTTTATTTTATTTCATTTTTATCTTAAACATGAAAAAGAAGGTATAATTTGGGTACAAATATTTGTAAAATTGGTTGTAAGGCATGTGTTTTTAGAAATTTAGGAAACAGTTATATATAAAGTTAATACCTTTCTTATGGTTTATTTTTATGTATAACTTTTAGTATTATAACCACACCAACATACCAAATATCTCAATTTGATTCTTTAACTTTTTAAACAGAATTACTTTTTTCAATTTTTTTTGTTTGTTCATTTGTGATAATCAAATTAAAAGAATGCAGTGAAAATTACAGTTGTAAAAACATTAGCCTACAACTAATTTGTTTCTGTTTTTCTTTTTTTAATTAATTAATTATTTATTTAACTTCTTCTCTCTTATTTTTGTACTTTTAAGAATATATAAATATTTTAAAGAATACTAAAGCTATAATTCATAATTGATAGTTGCTTTTTACACGAAGTTAATATTTTAAAAATTTGAAACAATGATAAAAATCTATCATAGCAAATCATAAAACTCAAAAAAAACTTCAACTGTTTTGAAATTTGTTTGACATGTTGTGAGTCTTTTAAATATGATTCGGTATTAATTGATTGATTGATTTATTTAAGTTTCTCCGTTATGTAAATTAGCAACACCATTATCACTAAATGGGAAAAAAACGAATAACTCAATGGAACTGCTTAGTAAAGAAATCTCACATAGTATATATAAACACACAGAAACTCCAAAAGCTTTGCAGGCACAGTCCCAGAAGTATGTATAATAAGAGCCTCGGCCACTACTCCGTCACAAGCCTTGTAGGTTGCTTCACTCTTGTGCCGTCCCCTGTACTGCAGTCATACTCCAAGCAGCGTTGGTGTGCAGATTGCAAGCATCGTAACGCCTTTCGAAGCATCATCGCCGTGTCCGTGTAGCTGTTGCTGTTTTTGTTGGCGCCGCTGGAATCGTCTTCACCATGAAGATCGCATTCGGCGAAGCAGACGAGGCGTCGAGCCCCGACGCGATCAAGGGCGCCGTGGCGGAGTTCATCTCGCTGTTCCTGTTCGTCTTCATCGGCGTTGGATCGGTTATGGCCTACGAGAAGATCCATGTGGGTGACTTGGATGCTGCAGGTCTGCTCATGATCGCCATCGCCCACGGCTTGGCCATCGCAGTTCTGGTGGCTGCCACGGCGAATATCAGCGGCGGGCATGTGAATCCGGCTGTGTCGCTCGGCCTCGCGCTCGCAGGAAAGATCACCATCATCCGGCTCGTGCTCTACTGGGTTGCCCAGCTTTTGGGCGCTGTCGCAGGTGTGGCATCGTATCTCTCCCGAGTTTACCGTCCACCAGGTTTCGTAGCGTTGTTCGTGGTATTTGTGGTGTTCTAGCTCCGAGTTTGAAGAGTCAGGAAGTGGTCTGGGACCGTATGTTGCAGTCGTGGAAGATACTCGGTGGCAACGCAGAAAAGTTTCTTTCTGAAATCATCATACTGTCTGCGAGGAAGAGTCTTGCTGCACTTTAGTCCGGGGTAATTTTTCGCAGAAGCAGTGATCGATGTAGTCTCTAACCCTCTGCAGCTTCAAATGTGGCAAAAGACACATATGTCATGGTCGGATCATGTTTTTGGGCATCCTCGGTTGCCGTCACGAATAGCTAGCTTCTATCGCCGATGATACACAGACAAATTGTAGCGTAGGAACACTGTGAGAACAGGCAGTATTCGAGGTTCTGTCTCGCTATGTTTTGCCGGAGTACTAAGTAGCTATGTGTGCAGGTGCCTGGGTTTTGAAAGCCGTAACCACGGGTGAGGACGTCGCACGCCATGCAATCGGTGCAAACATGACCGGCTTCTCCGCCATGTTGATGGAGATTGTGCTCACCTTCACCCTCATGTTCGTCGTATTCGCCACCGCCGTGGATCCCAACAAGGGCACGGTCGGGGTGATCGCGCCGCTCGCCATCGGCTTCACAGTCCTGGCCCAGATCTTCGTGGGCGCCCCTTTCTCCGGCGCGTCGATGAATCCCGGGAGATCCTTCGGCCCTGCCGTGGTAGCCTGGGACTTCAAAAATCACTGGGTATACTGGGTCGGCCCTCTCGTCGGCGCTGCGCTCGCCGCGCTCATCTACGACGGTGTCTTCATTTCCCCCGCCCCCCCGGCCGGCCACCAGCCCGTCCCTACCGAGTTCTAGAGTGCTCATCACCAAAACGTTTAACAGTCTAATATCCATTCTCCACTCTCCTTGCGGAAAACTTACCCAGAAAACTCTAGTGTACACTCGGAGATCGCATTGTAAGTATGAAGGTTTCGTGGCAGAGGTGAATGTTCAAGTGCACAGCAAGTTTCTCTCATATATCCGTGTTTCATTATACATGTTCATCATCATCAAGTGTAATTACACACGTTTTTCTTGTACACTCCCTGTCCACAGACTTGTGCTGGTGATGCGTTTTGCACCCTGCTTCCACTCCTTGGCTGACTCGCTGTTACTTAAATCAACAGTGCATCAGAACTTCCGCATTTTCTCATGTGACAATGTGCACTTTGCTCTGGACTCACTGCAAGGTTGTTATGTGATGAATGCTAGCGCCGCATCTCGAAACACTTTTCACATCACAAAAATCGTATCTGCTCCCCGTGTTCACTCCAAACTTCACAGCATTAGCACAGTCATTCAAGGAGCTGCCAACACCTCTTCCCACATAATTTTCTTCACACCATTTTTGTATGCATTGGTCTGGTGGTGGAATGTCACCCAGGCCCAGAAATCGACACCGCTTGTCAGCATGAGCATTCACCCTCACGAGAGTCACGAATCGGAGCCATTTTCTCAACCCGAAAAACGCCTCCAGATTCCCTGTCAGCCTCCTCGGAAAGAGCCCAATTGGTGGTGATGGCGACGGTGTTTGAAGCAATCTGTGCAAGACTTGGCCATGAGATGCTGGTATCATGGGACTGCAATTGAGCTCAGAAACCAGCACACGTTAATTAATGGCTTCATGGAATTATTGCGTAGTGCGCACCACATCTGAATCCAGAGTGCAGTGTTGAATTTTGGGTAAACAAAGGCCTTGAGAATGAGTTATTGGCAAAGCTTCTAGAACCTGGAAGCTTGCATCCATTTTGTGCCGAATACATATCCAAACAGCATGTAGCGAAGACAAGAATATATATATATATATATAAATGTAAATATCCAAATCCAGTTGTCAGTCGCATATTTCTATTGGGGCGTGTCTTCGTTTGGAGCCAAGTGGAGTTATGGGTTGCACGCGTTTGGAGCCAAGTGGCGTTGTTTCATAGTATGGAATTTGTGGTGGCAGCACATGTGGAAGAAGTCATTGGATTAACAAAACCAACAAAAAATCATGAAAAAAACAGACATAACGAATGATGCATGAATTTTTGAATCAACGTGTGAGATGTGTGAAGTGCTTTTGACTATGTTTTACGTGGGAGCTAATAGGTTTTATTTATTTCATTACTTTATTAACATAAAACAACAACCAAAGAAATCATGAAATATTCTTGCATAATGATGGTTTATGTTATATTGTATTATTTTAAAATACAATCAAAAGCATAAAATTTACTAAAAACATTCTAAACTATATATATTTAGAATGATATAGTAATTTGAAGCATCTAATTTATGCATCTCTATAATATTATTGTACAAATATTTAGCAAATTTTTCTTATCTAATGACCCAATGTTAACTGAGGTAGGAAACATGTCTTTGAGTATATAAATTTTAAAAATATAAAATTAAAAATTCTTAAAATTACAAATTAACACTTCAATTATAATAAAAATAGTTCAATCAAAGAAATATAAAAATCAATATCCAGAAATAAAAATATTATAAAATGATATAAAAGCCTAAATGATTATAATTGCAAACCTCAAGAGAACATTCAAGAAGATATTCATATTTTTGTAAATAAAATACCACTATTTTTTTTCCTCGGAAATATTTATGTTAATAAAAAAAATTCAATAAAATAAATATTTTAAAACAACCAATACTTTAATTTCAATGAATTTTTAAATACATCTATATTTTGTTTTTAGAAATAGATAATAAATCAATAGAATTTTTTGCATTGACTTTCTATTATTGAGATATCAGATATTTTTAAGAGTGTGATTCAATTTTAATATTTTAAATATAAATTCCTTATTGTATTGAATTAGTTGAGATTAGAAATCATTTCAAAAAAAATCTTGATTACTAACAAAATTCCTAATTATTTCTTGTTTCTGGTCATGTATTTTTACAACACTAATGTATAAACTTTTAGATGTTACTTTATTAAAATTTAGATATTGTGGTGCTTGTAGTTGCACAAATATATATATATATATATATATATATATTGTTTTCCTTTTACAAGCCAAAAATTGTAGCTTTAGGAAAATGTTTTCTAAAAATTATTAAAACAACAATGAAAACATGTAAAATATTGGTTTTTGGGTACAAGAAACCAACATGTGAGTAGAATAGATAACATCAATTCGAGCTGACAAAATATTTTTCTTATTTTGACTTCTTTTGGTTCAATAGCCCCCATAGAAGTGAAGTTATATCTATCTATCTATCTATCTATCTATCTATATATATATATATAACTTCATGTGCACATAGTTTTTGCACGTTCAATCCTTCGGCTGTGCAAATAAAAAATAAAAAAATTCTCTTGTCTGATGAAACATAACCAACCTATTTGGAAATTGAATGCAAGGCCCTGATATGAAGAAAGTAGGAGATGGGGCAGTCATATGATATATCCTGACAAGACTCATTTTCTTAACAATGAATTTGCAGCAAAAGGGGGCTTTGCAGTGAGAATTGTGAAGCATGTGGCCTGGACATAATCCCAAAATGAATGAAGCCTCATGTGGCCTTTCCCACTTGGGCTATCACTCCATGTGGCCGGGCCTTTTACTGGGCCATGATGCAAATGACCAATCTTACAGGAATAATATTTAATATACAAGAACAATATGTCAATATGGAATAATTGTGTGCGTCTTATATTTTTCCATAGGAAAGAAGAAGAAGAAGAAGTTTGAAGTACTTTAGTAATTAATATCTAACTATCTTGTAATGGTAATAACACTAGATTTGTTAATACTGAGTAGGAATTGCAGTTCTATTTGGGTGAATATTAGAGCCTCTAAGTTTTTTGAAAGTTGTTTTTGGATGTTCATCAAATAGGTTGTACTTTATGATGTCGGTCTGTGCTACCCTCTTTTCACCACAGAAGACTGAATAAGCATCCTCCCTTTTAAAATTTCCATGGGATATTCATTAAATGGCAAGCAATCTTGCTATACTATGTATACATCAATTAGATGAAATACAAGATATTTCTAGAATAATTACTCAATTGGTATATTTATGATGGAAATGTGAAAAAAGTAGATTGATATAATCCATTTATATAAATAAATAAATAAATAAATAAATATTTGTTTCAAATATATTTAATGTGTTGAACAAGGTTTTTCTGTAAAAGTAAAATTTGTTATATATAGCAAAGATTAATTCATTTCTTGTGCATGTTATAAGATTCTAAAAACCTCTAAATATATTCCCTTTTTTAGTTTTTTTTTAAACTATTAGATCTCTAAAATAAATATTTTAACTTCTATTAAAATTTAGTACATAATTTTTTTTTTAATGTCTTATATTGGTACCTTATATTTCAACTTCATAAAATTTAGAAATCTCTAAATATCTTAGAAATCTCAACCAACTTCAAATTGCCAAATTTTCATACCTTATTGTATATATAATTGAGTATCTTTTAATGTTAATATCAAACTAATAAAAAACTTGTTAAGAATATGGCATCCACAAATATCTACAAAACCATAAAAATTTAACTATAGCTTATATAAAAAATACCACAAATTAATCTAGAATTAACAATAAAACTTTGTTTCTTTTAAATCAATATTACATCTAAAATCACGACCTTGATTGTCTTTTTGAAATTTTTTCTATGTCATAATTTTTTACAAGTTTTATACTTTTGGAAATTCTTTAAAATCAACTTTCTAACCACACCTCTCCAAAAAAGAAAACTTCATTTTTCTTTAGCTCTTATTTTTGTGTGTCAACATTACATTTTGACCTTGTCATACAAAACATTGTCTCTTAAATATCAATTCTACTATTTTATGCTTAATTTTGTATAACATTAGTATTAAATTTGTCTTTTAGTTAATAATATAATATTTTTTTACCTACTTCATCTCGTCTTGACAAATTTATGGTCCAACCAAGGTGGTAGAAGCTTTTTAAGTGCAAAATGCAACCTAAAATATTAACATGCTAATTAAACTAGATGTATTATCTATTAAGTTAGAACAAAACCGCATAAAACTTGTACTTGATTTATTTTTACTTATATAGAATTTTCATCGATCTTTTTACCGGATAAAAACATTATAACATAAAATATATAATTTTTAGCATCATCCAAATTTCTGTAAATTTTATAATTTTTAAACATTTTGTACTTTAAATTAGAAAATCCAATGATAGATTGATTAATTTATATGTGATTTTAAAAAAAATTTACTTCTTACAAAAAAATATAAAATTAAAAACTTGTCTTAGATATTCAAAAACTAAAGTACACATAGAAAGCTGAATAAACAAAACATTTGTAGTTTGTACTTTGCCGTAAAGTACTTCAACAAACTAGACTAACAAAAAAATTACTTATTAACAAAAAGTTAAATTTTAAAATTTTAAATAAATAAAAATAAAATTTTAGAGTTTAAAATAAATTTCAGTTTCAAAAAATATTTCATGATTCATACAGAAATGATATTTTTATTAATATATTTTTTTATTTACTAAAAATATATATTTTATAAAAAATAATTATTATTTCGGAAATTATTTAATTTTATAGTATTTTATATTGATAAATTTTTAAAGTTTTAGGCAAATTCAAATTCAAAAATAAAAAAAATTAATGAGTAATCTTACAGTTATTAGATGGTCAACACACAGCTTAAATTAGTAGTATAAAAAAACATTGCAAGGTTCAAGAAGATTATGCTAAATCAAAGAAAAAAGTAGGCATCATTTGAAACCTTAAAAAGTGTCATATCCAACAAATGAGAATCAAAAATAGAAAAATTTATAATCTAGAATATTTTTAAAATTAATATAAAAATAGATATATTTTAGCTATATATATATATATATATATATATAGTCAATTTAAGCATTTAGACAACTCTAAAATGCTTTAGTGAGCTTATAAAATTTTAAAAACTATAATTGATAGATATAATTTAAAAACTTGATTAAGTATAAAATGATTTAATTTGTGTATACCAATTGTTACTATATGGTTAATAGATCTATTTTGGATATCAAATAATTAAAT